ACACACACACACACACGCACACACACACACGCGCGCGAACACACACACACACACACACACACATACGGATGCACGCATACACATACACAAGCACACGTGCACGCTTACACACACACGCACGCACGTGCACCAACACACACATACAAACACACACACACGCACACACACAGAAGATGTCTTTGTCCACGTGTCACTCAAGGGGTGTCAAATGTGCCAGCTTTGTCCTGGTATTGTCCTGTGTTGACGCCAGACATGCTGGGGATGAAAAAACGGTGATGATGTTGAGGGAGAGGAGGAGGCACTGTGTGGGATGGGAGGCAACACACAGATGACATTGTTTTTGGGGACGGTCTTACTAGATGGAGTCTGTTTAGCTCAATTCTAGAATAAAAATGTGAATAATCGTCTCGCAAAATATAAGATGAGAATTTGGGTAAATCAGAGAGGCGGAGAAGCTGAATGAGCACGATGCTGGAAAGGAATGGAAAACACGGGAAAGAAACAGAGTTGAGAATTCGGGGAGAGATAGAGAGAGCACTAGAGGAGTAGAAAGATATGGACTTTGAGGGATAGATAGATGGATAGATAGAGAGAGAGAGAGAGAGAGAGAGAGAGAGAGAGAGAGAGAGAGAGTGACAGAAAGCAACGACTTAGATTGATGAAGGGAAAGGGATAGGAAGGAGCGCAAAAGGGGAGTATGGAGTAGGAGATGTGCACTATTTTTCGACGACAGATTGTCCTCGATGTGTGTATGTGTTTGTGTGTGTGTTTGTGTGTGTGTGTGTGTGTGTGTGTGTGTGTGTGTGTGTGTGTGTGTGTGTATACGTGAGTTTGCATCAGTGTGTGTTCTTCCCCCATATACCGTCTCGGTCGCTCTTCGCTCTTGTCAGATCAGGCATGGGGAATTCGTCCAGTTCGAACGTTTATGCGAGCTGGAAGTTCAGCTACGATAAACCACTTTCCCCTCCAATCCCACTTCCTGGTCCCTCTTCGCGTCTTCTTAACCGTTTGCCTCCACCCCATTCTTTTATAGTGACACACCATAGAGACGTGTCATCGTGGCAGTGTGCCAGTCAGTGTCAGAGACCAGCACAACAGTGACAAGACATGCTGCCAGTATAGCAGGGACATTTCGTGACGCCAATATGACATTCACATGCTTGCCTTCTTTTTTTGAGTGACACAATATCATAAAATCACTATGGCAGTGTCATACAGTGATCTCAGTATAAAACTCACAATAATATTATAATCACATCAGAACGGAAGTAGCCAGTGAAAAAAACCCTATCCGAATATAATATGGCAATTGATATATCATAGCTTTAGTATAACGGTGACAACTATGGCACCAGTGTGCCAGTACCGCAACAACCCTTACAAGCAGCAGAACCCACCTGTACACATATGACACCTCTTACTTACCTTGACCTCTATTTCTCCCCCCCCCCCAACTCTTCCCCATCACTCATCTGGACACCATCGTCTGTGGTGTAGCGATTAGGCGCTTCCTCGTCGAGGGCAGAAGAACCGAGTTCGTATCCCGAGTTGGGAAAACATTTTTATTGAGCATCTCGATCTTTCCGCTTGGATGTTGTATCCCTCTCAGCCCAGGTTGAACCTGGAAGGCAGGGTCGGAAATCTGTCTCCTAATTAATGATCTAAGTTGTGTAAATACTCCATTATTTGACTTTCATTTCTCGCTTTGTCTCTCTGTCTGTCTGTCTCTGTCCCTGTCTCTGTCTCTGTCTGTCTGTCTGTCTGTCTGTCTGTCTGTCTGTCTGTCTGTCTGTCTGTCTGTCTGTCTGTCTGTCTGTCTGTCT